GCTGTGCGATGGCAGATACGACACCTCGCCAACAATTACATGGCGACATCAAAAGCGCTCCGCAGTAAAATAGACGTTAGGTGGAGTTGACCAATGGCATGATTGAAGTGAGTCGTTTTTTCAACTTTTACATGGCCGTACGAATGGGTCTAGGAAGGATTTTGCAGGCTGTGGATAATCATTTAGGTCGCGGAGGTTTGAGCTAGGTGTTGGCATAATCGGACCAATAGAAAATTGTCATGATGCATTCCACGAGGATAAAATCAGAAGATGAAACGAAATCTTCCGCACCCTTTGACTGGAAAATCTATTTTTAAGAAGGAATCGGCATGTAAAATGTCAACGTTTACCATATCTAAGCATTCATCTTCATCATCTTTTTCTTGTTCGATTCGTTTGGATCGAATCATAACAGAAATCACTCTTATTTTGTGAAATTAGCAGTGTAGATATGTATTCTAAGATGAGTAAGTGGACTGCATACAAGCTACACACACGCACTCCTTGAATTTACAATGGATCCGATAGTGTTTGCCAGAGAAATGACCTTCAGAGCCGAAAACTCTCATAGGTTGACTAGCGCCATGACAACAAGTAAGAAAACATTGAAAAGTGGCAGAGGAAGTGAGGCTTTCAAACTGTAACTTTCTTTCTCTTAAGGTGTAACTTAAGCAGGCTGACTTTTCAAGGTCCTTGTTAACTTTACCTCTTTCAACAAAACAAGTCTATACCTTCGGCTGCGAAAACCACAAGAGTTTACTCATGTTTTCCGTGTCATGATGCAACACAAAAGAAACGCCGAGGAAAATGTTCGGGGGAAGTAAAATAACTAGACTCTGATTTTCACTTGCGTATTCAATGTATCACAGCGTTAATTTTTGTCTCAACTTGCAAAACCCAAATAACCGTTTTGCCAATCTGTCAGCTGAGTCCAACTGATGCCCAGCCATTCCCGCTACAAACCAGTACACCAGCCGATTTTTTTGGTCAAGTCATGTTTCTATCGCATGGGTTATCCTTTTCAGCCCTCGGAAACAGCCACGAAAAGGCGCTCTAGGGGTTCAAATTGTATTTCCTCCCAAATCCACACTAGTTGATCTTGTCTGGAGCGCAACTCAGGCGCCGTCCTCTACTCTATTTATGTACACTTTCACGAGGCCGTGCTGTCGTGCGTTTGTCTTGGCGCGCACGCACTTGCCAGATGGAATGGATTCGACATACAAAACCTCAGCGTAATTTTGGGCGAGGAGTAGCGCGCGAGGCGATGTCATCACAATACGCGGTGGGGGGGGGAGGGGCAGGTCATGGGGGTGTCGGAATTTACACGGGGTGCTGGGTGTGAAAGGTGGGTGGGGTTTTTCAATGGTCTGTGGTCTCAGAATCAAGAACCGTGGACAGGGCATCCTTGACGGTGTGGTAGATCATGTTCTTCACCTGCAGCTTGTCCTCGTGGCAAGGGTGATTCCGAGGCAGACGTCGAAACTCCTCGGTCAACTCGAGACACTGTGGAACGTGCTCGGGGGAGATGAAATCCGAGGAGACGTTGACGCAATTCGCCAAGTTCCGAACCTAAAGTGAGGTTGGGGTGATTAGGACACATCGACAAGTTCAGTAAAAGGGGGACGCTGTTCCCTAATCCTCCACTGCAATATTATGTTGAAATAGAATGTTGGTGGCGAACTGGGTAGGGAACCATCCAGACGAGTGATTACCCACTAAAACTGCCCCCTTTAGATGTCCGCAGAAGTCCCTTTCCTCTGGACACAACTCCTAATCAAATTCCCCGTCAGCGAACAGAATGGAGGTAAAAGTCAAGCGACTTCACGGTATTTTCAGCATTTGAAAACAGTTGGGATAATTTCCTAATCGGCTCAAATGACGTGGAAGAGCCTCGAATTGAATTGATTGGCAACGGACCAAACACCACTACGTCTGGTGTACCTCGGGACGCGATTGTTATTCAGTGCCCGGTTGAACGACCGTCACAATCACGCCAGATGTCACGCGATGTGTGTGCGCCTGATTACAATGCAATGCGTGCGTGCGTGCGTTCGTTAGGCGTCCACCTCTACCTAGCACCCACGCCTGGAGACCTTTTAACGACCCACGTACTGAATTTGTTTACATGTGATTATTACCCGTCCTAAGAGCAACACACTGCAGCACCAAGCGTGGAGGCGAGTTTGTCGCGGCGCGGCGCGGCGCGTCGCGTCACTGCGCCTTTAATTACACTCACACAAAACAGGCTTTCGCCCCAGGCCGAGGCAGTTTTATTGCCCCTGGCAAACTGCAGGCAGGCTGAAAAGGACTGTGTGTGTGAGTGTGGAAACCAGACACCCGTTCGGGAACTTGTCCAAAGAGAAAAACGGTTAACCACCGCTAAAACTCCCCCCTCCCAACCGGTTAAGACACGATAACTCCCTTCCGGGAGCACACAAAACCGCGGCCAATGATCCAGTGGTCTTGTGAGTGGAATTCATACTGTAATTAGTTGCCATACCGACCACTAAAGTGAAATTCCTTGTAAAGGGATAATATGCTACGACCTTGAGACAAATGGAAGCGCGGTCGCACGTTGTGCCCTTGGATAAATGCACAATGGCGCGTAAAGAAGAGATCATTTGACATACTCACGAATTACGGCAAGTATTTAGACAAACAGGAAGGGGCTGAGCGATCCCCACTCACCTGATGCACTGATCCAGCGGGAATAAAAACGGCGTCACCAAGGAACTGCAGCACGGTGTAGGGTTTGATGCCGGTTTTCGCCTTCAGGTCTTCAAGCTGCTGCTGGGAGAGGTACATCCTCTGGTCGTGGATCACGTCTCCTCCGACGGCGTGGGCGGAGGAGTTTCTGTTGGAAGCGGTCTCACTGCCGCGGTACTGCGGGCTGGCGGAGGACTTGTTCAGCTTGGTGAGGTAGTCCCGCAGCGCGGGCAAATCACACGGCCTAAAGACGTGCCACAGAGCGCCAGGCAGCCCTAGTAATCAGAAAGCGCATTACACGGGTTAAGAGACATGAAACGTATTTGTGGTCACGGTGAATGCGCACCGCTGCACATTTATTCCACCTATTACGGCAAGGCCCAACGAAACCATGGAGCGACAATATCTGTAGACCAACACTTCCTACTGGGACGATAACTGCCGTGGAGGCTAACTGATGACCATGGGAAACTATTGGTCGGTTGTTAACATTGATAGATTAGCGAGATTGGCTCCTCATTAATCGCTGAAACCGTTGAAATTGGCAAATAGCTCGTAACTATTGGTTAATTTGTCGACGCTTTTTGTGGATTTACACAAACTTTATTCGAGTTCGGGGTGTGAAAAAATGATTTTAGAGTATCAAGGGAACACAAGATCATAACACAGTGTCATGTGACGAAGGGCATTACCGAGTTTAAAAGTACAATTGAGGCGGTAATCCGCGCACCACTTAAAAGACGTCACTTTATTGTCCCAGTGTTACCGATCACAATTCAACCTAGCAGTTTCATCAAATCCAAAACACCACTTCTGTCAGTATTCACGTTTTTATTGGTTACACCAAGGTCACCAGACATGCCATGTTAGCTACTCTTTTTTCCCATGAATCCCGGCATCCATTTCAATTGCTATTTTTGGCTCATGGAGAGCAGCAAGCGAAAACAACAATCGTGAGCGAAGTTGATTCGATTGGTTTACGTGAATGCGCTTCACGTAACTGTGCTCCTTCAGGGATCAGTGTTTAGCAGGGCTATATAAACTGACGTATTATCTTGTACACCGACACACACACCATTACTGCCATAGTAAATTAGTTGAGCTATGCACCATTTTCTACCGTTTTGACCCGACTCCTGATTGTCGATCTCGTCCACCTCAGACGTCGAACGTAGAATTAACCTGACCTTTCAGTGGAAAAGGTCCGTCGATTCCATTCGACTGCGTTCTCGACTTTGAACGCTTATCGATCTTTCTGGTACGAATTAAGCAGCATGGTGATTCTGCGTCTTCGGGAAAAGTCGCTCCTTAAGCAATCCTGCCATCCTTCGAATCTTAACGTGTCGCTGTTATACTTCTACATCGCCCGACTCTTGGTCCTGTTGCTGTCCCGTGGCTTAGCCTAGCTTTCACCCTATACACTCGCCTTTACCAGCCTGGTTTCGTCCTCCAACTCGCCTAACTCAACCACGTTTCGTCTTTGGCCCCAACCTCCGCCAGACGACGCCCAATCTCCGGACGCTCCCTTACTTATTGGGCTATATAAACTGACGTGTTATCTTGTACACACACACACCTACTGCGTCAATAAATAGGTTGGGCTGCGCGCCAACTGCATTTCTACTCTATCTTGAGACAGGCTTTCTCGATGCAGATCATCGGTCCTGGTGTGGTTCCTACAACCGCACCGAGGGTGAAACGCAACACAACCCCAGGTCCATTCAGGGAAATGTTCTCAAAATTGCGCACGTTTTTAGTGGAACTACTCACCACCAACCTCGCATTCTCCCATGCTGTTTACGTAGCCCCGTTTTCAGTTTCAAGGGTGACCACCTCAAAAAAGTAACAACATGTACCAACATGGCGCGCGTGTTTGCCATTCGAATGGCAAACTGCATTCGTCGTGGACGACGTTTTTTTTTCACGATTTAGCGCGTTGCCGTGGCGCCGATTTACGCACAAAGCATTTGTTTTAAGATACGCCAGGCACAAATGTACACGCCTAAATATCTAAACGTTTTCCTTCTTGCAAAGCAGTTGTTAACTTTTTTTTCCTTTGTAAGAAATTTTACCACAAAACACCTGACTTTTGGCCTGGCAAGAAAATGTCAATTTTAGTCTGCTTACCGAATAGTCCCTTGTTTTACTATACTGGTTTTGTTGGAACACTATTCAACGTCCCCAATAGTAGATAAGCGCTAGTAAAACCTAACATAACAGATTGTTTTTGTCGTCCATCGACTCCAACGCACATTTCCAGCATTGCTTATACGGGTGTTATTTAAGCTGCTCGACTAAAACTCACATTTGCGAATTTAACCTAACTACTGCATAACTATGCAAGGCATAACGCTTTACAAAATAATCACCGCTAAGCTAAGATGCGCCCGTATTTATCACAAAATGTTTGCCGAATTCCTTGATCGTGACAACCACTTTCGCACCAACCTGACGCTTATTTTCCTGAAAACAAATGGCAAAAACCGAAACTAAGATCGCCTTTACTGATTGGAGGTTTCGTAAAACCTTTCAATGGCCGCGGGCACACTTTTATTCGCTGGGGGAACTTGCCTCTGGCAGACGATGCACTCGAGATGCACTTGCCGTTAACCTCGGAGACGTCGACACCAGCGGACTTGAGGAAGGCACGCAATTGACCCTCGCCGGCCTTCTGTGGCGCCTGATCTGTCGACCGGCTTGTGTACATCAAAACGTTGATCACATCGGTCACGTCCACACGCAAATTCATTGTGCCAACCTAAAATTTTGAAGGCGAAATAGGTGTTGGCTTCAAGCGTCCAGAATCGCAAATTCAATGCAACGAAGATTTAATTGATAAAAGCTAGCAGATTAACGAAGGTGTTCTATTCACAAGGTATTGCGCTACACACAACGGACCGCAGTCCCAGTTTTAGGCCATGACGTGCCTGTTTCGAGTCATTTCAACAAGCTCTTGACCACCCATCGGGAAATAAATTGAACAAACGCCTGATCAATTACATTTCACCCAGGTTTGCGGTATCACCAGGTACGCAAGAGAGACGACATAATAACTGGCCAAGAACACACACACACACACACACAACTAAACTCGGGTGATGCGGCACGGCGCAGAACGTAGAACCGCGTGCACGGGGCTGGGAACAACACCCAAGTGACTGCCGCTGGCCCACATGGTGCGCGTCACGCGCCGAATGCATGATACACAGCATCGCGCAAAAGCCGTGCCCTTTTCAACACAGACGGGGCCTGCCAGAAGTCGATTCTGAATTGGCTAGATAAATCATCGTGGCGTTGTTCAGGCCTACGATAAAAACAACCCAAAGCACAGTTGTGCTTGTCTAGCGTTCATCAAGCACTAAAACCGCGAGCTCCACAGCCATGACAGCACTAATCACGGTCTTGGGTACCGCCACTTGGAGACGCCGCGTGCAGGACGGGCGTCATTAGTGCAAACCCACGCCATCAGTCATCACGTAGTTTGCGTGTCTGTGAAAATGGCGCAGTGTACGAATTGAACCAGTAGTTCCACGAGGCATCAGTGCATACCTTGGGTTGGGAGCTAAGGTCATGAGCGATATGGAGCCGCGGACCGAGGTCAGGTCGGACGAAAAAGGAGGGAAGACGAGCTGCCAGGTTGAGTTCACCTTCGCGATGAGTGTACTCGGGTATTGGGAGGTGGGCGGTGAAGTCCGCGTATCGATCCGGATGCAGCTCAGCCAGGTCGCCCAGCGGAGGCCACTCGCGAATCTTCAGGTGCTGCATCGACTTCGTGCTCTCCTTTGCCGAGGAACGCTCTACAAGAAAATTCGAAATCGACAACACTGACTACTGCCAGTCTCTAAGTGGGAATACACACGCAAAAACCAAAGTGCACATTGATTAACACCAAGAAGCACACAGTAGTAAACGTTTCACATCGCGGTAGCACTTGTAACCTAATCAGGACTTGTACGTGGGATTCGCGTGACACACACACACACACACACACGAGTACAGGAATTCCAATTTGATGCGGTACAATTTTCCGAAACTGTAGTAATTAAAACAAACGTGGAAGGCAACAAAAGGCACTCATGCAACACCGACAAATTTTCAAATAGAAGCTGCACAGTCGCGGTGTCGTCAACTTCGATTTAATCAACTTTAGAGCACTTTAAACATGCCACTTCAATAAAAACCACGAAACGAGGTTTTTATAGCGCCGTTTTGTAGGTCACTCTAAGGTCACTGCAGCTTCTCAGATGATTAACGCCACCTAACTTCGAGTTTTTACATCCGCCACTTTCGTAGCCGCGTTTTCAGCTTCAAGGGCGGCCACCTCTAAACAGTAACATGTACCGATGTGATGCGCGTGTTTACCGCTCGAACGTCAAACTGATACTCTGTTTTCTATATTAGCCGCGGATGGCGTTTTTTGCACGAATTAGTGAGCTGACGTGGGCGCCGTGAAGATACGTTTGGCACGAAAGTGCACAGTCCTACACATCTAAATGCGCTCTTTCCAACACTTTTAGTGACTACTGAGAAAACAGCAAACCACGGAGCTGGTAAGTTCGCGAGAAATCAACTCCAAAGAAGTGGCAGCTCAACTGCGAAGGGGCTAATCCACAAGACCCCTCAACGTCACTCCATCCTGTGGATTATGCACATTGCATCGATTACAACGATGCTTTGAGAGGATCCTGAGCGTTAGCGACCGAGTGGTTAAATTTCAGCGCAGCATGCTGATTAACTCGTAGTAAATGGTGCATGGAAGCTTGTAAGCAGGTGTAAAACCATTTAGCGTGAGCGTCAGCACTCGCGTGGATGAACCACGTGGCTAGAATCGTACTCGAATTGTTTGGATGGGGCTCAAACGCCTCCCAGAAGGCTCGGACGGGGTGTCGAGGCACAATGAGGTTGGTTTCGCAATCGACGAGCACAATGTGCGAAGAGGAGCTGCTCTCTCGACTGAGCGATCGAGGGGTCCAGAGGGAGGCGTTGAAGTGCTTTTCACAGCCCGTGACGACGACCGGTTGGTTGGTTGCCCAGTGACGCTGGAAGGAAGGGGACAAAACTTCGTTAACCCAAGAAATTACACACCAGATCACGCCTAATCGCCCCGCAAAGTACTCACTTGAGTCCAAACACCACAAATAAGAGATATAAGTGTACATACACCTAATGTAGCCACTGACACACAGCCGGCTGCCATGGAGACCTCTTCGGATACTTTGTGTGCGTGTGCGTGCGTGTGTGTGTGTGCCAGAATTGCACCCACGTTTTGTCAGCTGATAGGCACCATGGTGAACTTGCGTCACACACGCACACACCACGCCTAGAGCCTGCGATTAGGTGCGCGCCAAGCGATTTAATTTTTGGCGTGTTAGTTCAGAGAGGTGATTAAGCCGCTACTCGAATACTCCTAAGCGTCGGGGCTTGGCTGAGGTCAAAAACCATCGTCTGTGTGACTTGTGTGCGTTAAAACCACTAAACGACTTAAACGGCCTATAAACCAAGTTAAACAAGCGCCTAGATGTGTGAATAAATATATTTCCTACAGTTGATTGGTGGTGGGACGGATTCGAGACCACGGCTTAACGGCGCTGGTTTAAGTAACTCCTGCGTGGCCGTGGCCGTGATGAAAAAGCGTGTTTGGCGCAGAAACGACATGCGGCTGGCGGCGCGTTCGCTACGGCGAACAAAGCCGCGACACGTGGGCGCACGGCGGTGTTTGTGTTTGTACCAGCAGCCGATGACCGTTGCCACGCTGTACCGCCTGTCAGGTATTTTTTCGCCCTATCAGAATGCCCAAAACCTCAGCGTTTCGCTTGCGTGGGTTGATTTCTCGTGGCGAAAAGGCTTAACTCAGATTCTGAACTGTGTGAGTAGATGAAAAACGATATCTACATCGGAGCTAAGTGCCTCCACGAACAGCACTGGGCCTCGTCATCCAGCGTCTCGTTAGACTCCAAGGGCAAGAAGACGCTTCGAAAGACGACAATGTGAAGACAGAAGAGGTAAAACTCGTCGATCCATTCTAGCCACAATCTGATTGTGGTTCACTTGCGCAAACTTTTCATGCGGTAATCGATTAGAAAGTTCCTGATAGTTCAGTCTGCGTCAAGTTACAACGGTGTCACGAAAGCCTCAATAAATAACGAGGCAAAGGCGACAGCACAGACGCAGCGCGACAGGCTTTGTGCTGGCAAACCACATTAATCTCCAGGGTCGTAGGTGAAGTATTAGCAGGGCAGGCTGAAACCCGATGCACAAGTGCTTCTGAGAGCAGCACGCCAACACCACGGCGACGTGGCGGTGATGCGGGCTTGGGTGCGCTTGCATAGGCGTGTGTGTGTGTGGGTTGGCGCAGGTATCAGGTACTACTTTCAGGCCGGTCGATTCTAACTTTAAACAAAACAGTTGCCGATTCACGAAAGGGTGAAGGAAGTAGCCGAGCCCATACAAACCTTGCTGGTCGTTTGTAACAACGAAACCTTCACTTACGACGCCGGCACACGTCATTTTGGCGATAATCAAGGTTTGGAACAAGCTGAGTGCGCAAAATCTACCACGTTGCCGTTGTTTAACCGTTCTGGTTCTCACCGCGCGGCATTCAAAACTTGTTTACACGACGGACGGTGTTCACAAGACACCACATTACCTAGTGACTATTACAGACGTAGTAGTTATTGTTGTTGTTTTAGAGTAAAACGTGTGGTTTTTAAGGTTCCAAAAAGCTTTTTTGCGTTATGCAGGAATTGATCTTGGCATGTTTGTCTGTGCGAAGGGACCAACGCTTTGTAAAAACATCACAGGTTACACGAACTCATTTTTCCTCCAAATTAGTAGAAAATACACAAAACTTTTTTTCTCTAGCTGTTTTAATCAAAATCCAAAATGTTTGATGAAATCCAAGTTTTAAAATGGAAAATTCCGACACCGATTTGCCAGGGGGTGCTACCCTATCGCGCAGAACCGCCAACAACGAGTTGAGCGACGATAAACACAGCGCACACTGCCCGCTTTTCGTGAATCCAAGCGCAAAATTGTAAATTGCTGGTGTAAAATTTAGTGCACAATAATTCGTCTACCACAGAATGCATCGTAACCCCGACACGCGACTACTACGTCTTGCAACTAGTAAAAGCGTGCAATAACCTGACTATGTGCCATCAACTACACAAGTAGATAAGAATCGACAAATATACAAGCAACATCGCGGGATCTATAGGTCGCACTTCAGAATAGGCCTTCTCTGTCATCATTTATCGGCTAAAACTTGTACTTTAAACAGTGGTAAGCCCACAGTTTCTTGTCAAAGTACAAGTAATTTAGACATCAAAGTTAATCACGGTAAATATAACATGGTGTTCGACATCACTGATTCAAGAAAAGTTACCTTAGTAGGCATTTTTGCGGAGTATTTTGGCGTTAATTGTGCTGATCTACCGCCACACGAATTAAGCGGCACCTGTCGGGGCTGGTAAAATCTTATCCAGCGGAAGTCAACGATTTCGACCAACTTGGCTTCATCGCAGACGATTGTTTAAAACTATGCACAATTAGCGCAATCCGTGTGACGTCATACGAGAAAGTTCAAATGTGACGAGGGTTGAGACGGCAAAGAGTGTGCAGAGTGCGATCTTATCGCAAAGTATTGCAGTTTAAAGCAGACAAAGATCAGTCGCCTGAAGTGACGCGATCGATGGTGTGTTGAGTGAAATCCAGCAAGTTAGCAATAACAAATTATCTGCATAAACGTTCCCTCAACTTTACAGCTGGGTGTGTGCTTGAAAGGTGCATACGTAGGCGGATTTGGGTGATGACGCAAAACCTGGAGGAAATGACCACTCAATCACAGGCTGAGGATCGACATGAGACAGAATCATCACATTTTAAGAGGGGGGAACGTTACCTGGAAGGCCTTCGAGTTGCCAGAATCCCCGTCTCTGAGATAGAGCACGCCCGGGGACCCGGCCTTCTGATTGCACTCTCTTCGTTCTCCATCCGCGTCCGGTGCTGCGCCGTCCTCGGGCGAGCCATCACCACTAGACGCCGTAGACTTGAGGGCGAGATCCGCCAGAAGGTCGAGGGACGTTGCCGCTGAAGTGTCAGTGGAGGACGCGGGAGAGTACGAGGTATTCGGTGGGGGTTCAGCCGAGGCACAGGCACAGGGGCAGTCCAGACGCGGAACGATCCGATGAAGGCGATGCCACAAGCGATGAAGGCTGCCGTAAGGAAGCAGGGCCGTGAGCATCATTTTGCACGGGTCGTGTGGTCGACGGCTTGCCGAACACGTTGACCAAGGTTGACGCACAGAGTAGTCCTCGTAGCTCAATTCGACTACCGAAGACGATAGGCCTGAAAATGCAAATTTCCACATCAAGAGGGGTGAGAGCCGAGATGCAACAAATAAAGGGACGAGTGCAGCTTAGAGAGGTGATAAAGCACATTTACACTTGATTCCATCGTCATCAGCAACGCTCTCCTGTGTCGTCGACGCGACACTTGACGTGGCATCGCCCAGAGGATCGGGGCTATCCTTTGCCTTGGCGTATGAAGTCGCCTTGGCGTAGTAGCAGGCGGAGCAAACGGAGTATCCACACTTAGTGCAGACCCAGTGCGAATTGAACATGGTCGTTTCGCAAACATCACACATTTCTCTAACCCCCTGGACAGGTCGCTTCCAGGCAACCTGAAGCGACGGCGAGATGTAGGTTCTGCTGGAGGAGTTGGCAGGAGTTGGGCAGCACTGTCGAATGACCGGCCCACTGCTTGTGGTGGATGAAGAGAGGATGGATAACTCGGAGAGCATAAGTCGACACGCCACAGCGCCTAATCGCTCGAGGCAGTAAATTGCATTGTGTCGGCTGAGGCTTGGAGATACTATGCAAAAAAAACACGAAAAAAAAACGACCCAGTGAGGGGAATCAAATGATTGTGAGCGTGGGAAGGCAAAAGCATGTGACACATGTTTTTTTTTGCACATTTTGGAGCGCAACTGTCTAGTTGTGCGTAGAAGCGGTAGAAGCGTAAATGTCAGAGGCAAATTCCATGATTCAGAACTTGCACACACCCTAGGAAAGCACGAAAATTTTTCTCAAGAGGGTCCACTTGAGACCTACTGATGACTTCTACTACACACCTACGAGGAAGACGCTCTTAATTAAAGTTACAAAGTTTCCAGAGTTAAAACCAAATAGTCAAGCACACTAGTTTGTTTGCCAAGTTGCAGTGCCGAACACAGATTTAAAACCGAACAGCCGAGCGCGTGGTGCCACGTTCAGTGCAAACTGTTGGCTTCTGAGGCAACACGAGGTGAGTCGAGTTTGGTGTACACAGTAACTGGATATTTCTATTTCCTAGCAAAAAAGAGAGTTCTGGTTCAATTACCGCGGTGATGCATAGCCCACAACGAACGGTCGATCGCATCTGCCTCCGAGGTTCGACAAAAATCCGCAACGCCCAGAAGGCCCTTGTTGTCGTAGCAGAGCCTATTTACAATTCAAAAAAAAGAACTTGGATTAACGAGGACTAACAATGATGGTAGGAACTAAACCAAACCAGCCAGAATATCGTGTTTTCTCTGTACACTGAATACAATCACGATTAGAAACAGCACATTTAATTGCGTCTCAGAGAAAGGGCTGCAGCATGATTGTCTCACAAATCTCTAGTGTCCACACATCGTGGTTTGTGATATATTCCCATGGGATGCATTAAAACAGTGAATCAAGACTTCAAATAAAAAAAATACGGGAGATTTGGTATTGAAAAAGTGGCATTTATCCTAATAAAAAGGCATTCATATTGTTACTAATCGAGTGGGTTTCTCGAACTGCCTAAAATAACAAGATTTGTGCAAACAATGCCTGTAACATTCCGGTCTACTGTTACCAGCCGTACAAGTAGCACGTGGATGGAAAAAAAATAAGTTGGCGTTCGGTGAGAGACGGACAGGGTGGATAATTTTAGAAGGTGCGCTTTCAGTGACTCGGTTGGAGTGAGACGCAAGGTAGAACAGTAGCCAGGGAGTGCTGGTTTTATGGCCACATAAAACGATGCATTTGTCTTAAAACCGGTTTCGACACCGGATTCCACGGTATGGGGAGCGCGATCTGACGCGCGTGAACGACACCGTCTGAAAACACTCCGACACAACGATCAGCAAAACAGGAACTAAACGTCCTGACTGGCCCAGTCAGCGTCCGTTTCCGCCAATCAATGCAAAGAGGAGGCCAAAGAATCTATTCAGTCCCTCGGCCCCCCTTTGAAAATGATGATTTCATTTGCGTCCGGTGCGCAAGTACGTAATGGACTTGGAAACCCAAAACGTAGCTACTCCACAACATTAGCCAACTTCCACGGAAGCATAAATCAACACGTAGCTGTAAGCAAACATGCGTTTACAATGTCAACGCGAGTTGAAAACTAGGGCAGAATTAGCAAATGCCAAGTGGCCTTCAGTCCCACGACCGAACAATCGATAACCGGCAACGGGAGTGTACGCACGCACGCGCGCGCATTGGGACTCAGGGAAGATAAAGACAGGGGGAAAGCGGAGTGGGGAAAGCATTTTGGGAAAGGCAGCGCCAAAACCGCATGCTGCAGTGGCACGACAAGGTGTGGTGGTGGGCGGAGGTGGGACATGTCAGGCGAACAGATGACCGAAAACACCACGAAATTCAGCAAAGCTAAACCCCAGTCCTCGACTAAACATAATCACGTGACGTTTGGCGAACAGCGCACAGCGATGAGTGTTCGCTGTGTGAACCTCAGGAATCGCAGAACCAAACAACACAACAGCAGCAGCAGCAATAGTAGAAATGAAGTAGTATTTCATGCGGTAATTGTTCGTGGGAGCAAAAGTAGGTATGGTAGAAGCGAAAAAGTGAAGCGGGTTTAGGAGAGTTCTTTACGCGTTCGGAGCAGAAGCGACCGCTTCTCGTTTACTCAACGGATATCGTATTTGTGCCACCATTTTGCTGGTATTTAGCAAAGTGCCGTCACCGGTCTTCACAAAAGTTCTATTTTTGCCAATTTTAGCCCCAAAAGTCCGCGTTTCGACACCGGCGTTTGCCTTTTACACAAACGCCTGTGTGGTCCGCGTTTTTGTCGAGTGACCGGCACAGGGTTGGCTTGGCCAAGTTAAAGGCGGTGGCTTGGACCCCGATGACTCACTCCTCCTCGTCCGCCATTTGGAAGAAACTGGAAGAACGTTTGGCGTCACTTCACACGACAGCAGCGACAGAAAGCCAACATTGAACGTCAGCCTCTCATAGTTGATCGGACAACGCCGAGCGGATCAAGCGAGACTTGTTGGGATAAAGAAGGGAGTGGCAATATACACCTTCCAACCAAGACTTCGGCTCGGCATGGTCTGGAACTCCAGCAAGCCACTCTGTGTGCTTGAACTACTCAATAGAGGCTGTTTAAGCAAAGATTTCATTCAATATTGGATTGATAACCAATAATTGGCTCAATTTATAACCTAGCCTGAGATTCTTCAACTTTTGTATAGGCACCTGTACTTAGTCTAATATCCAGGTAGCGTCGTAAAATATGCTTTTCGATTCTTTAATTATGGGCATACGGTAGTTCAACGAATCCGTCTAGATTCAATGAAGGTCCCGTGTGCGGAAGAAAGATCCTGAAGGTTTTCCACATCATTTTGAACCCGCGATTTTCAGGTATGTTCAAATGGCATCCATTGGCGAATGAATTTTAAATCAACGACCGAAATTTCAAAAAACAGGTTACAAAGGGTTGGCGCTCGCTCGAAATCAACTAGATCGACGACGGTGCCTCTGAAGGTGCATTCAACGCATTGACCGATGTCACTGAAGAGGACACAAAGCCAAAGATTCCAAGAGTTGACGGAACAGCCCAGCCTTTAACCGCGGTTAGCCTGATACACTTAGGTTATGCCGTGTGCGTGTGTGCGCAATTTATGCAATTAGTTTTTTTATATGACTAAAGCTGTCAACCACGTGGTTGTGTGCTTTAAAATAGTGCTCCGGCTCGCAATTCAGTTGAATGTTACTATTAAGATGAGGTGGAAATCTTACACGACAATCTCCAGGAGGCAGTTCTGATCTCAAAATACCGATCAATAGTCAATTTAACACGCGCATCATTCGCCAACCACTTCTGGAATAACTAACCAGTCTGAATGCAGTACTCAAGATACGTAGCATTGTTTAATGTCACCCAGAATTGCACATGTCATCGAGAATAGATTTAACCGACCTACACACACACACACAGCCGAGCTGATGGCGCACTTATCCCGCCTCCTCTGCAAATTGGTGGCTTTCAACTCCTAGACTGCACTGACGGTCACCAAAGGCCCAACTAATTGATGTTTCGGTGTGAACCACAATACCGCAAACATCGATTTAGTAGAGGAACTAGAAAAAAGCTGTAGTACCCCAAGGAAAGTGGACAACTAGTAACCGAGACGCATAAACAATGCACGCCTTTTCTATTCAGTGTTTACAACCTCTCTGTGTTTACTAAAATTGGATCCGCCTGGTCTAGATAAACACACCGAGGTCAATTACGCCAAATCAACCACGGGGATTTAGGACAATACCGATGTATACACGCGGTCTGTCAACTACGGTTGATCAGTTGGGATGCACTAGGCGTGTCTTTTTCGCCGCATTCCAAGCTGATTTCTCGTTTTCACATAGTTGATCTGAATAAGGAAACCGGGGTTTATTGAATTAACACGGTTCACACGATGGTAAAGGTAACACCGATTCCTCGAAACGATAGCGTCTGGCTAGTGAAAAGCCCCTCAACTTGAAATGGACCGCTGAATCACGATTAGCACAACTCAGACCCCGTCACCTTGGTGGAAGCAGCTAATAACAACGATAACCGAGTGGTGAAATGACTTGGTGGGTCTGCCACGCCCTTGAAGTGTCTGCCGATGTCGGTGCGCATTCAGCTCAAGGCAAGTGCTATTCAGGCTTGAGCACCACACCGGCTGCGTGTGTAATTTTAAGCAGAGAAATGCAAGTGCGCAGCAGCACCTTCGCAGGTAACCCCGAGGTTAGGTGAGTGCGTGTATGTGTGTGTGTGAAGATTGGCTCTGGTGATGATCGCCGCGCTATTTGAAAACAAGCCAACTTCGCACGTATACGATGCTAAAATAAGAAACATGAAGTACGTGCGAGAAGGCGGCAACAACTGAGTTGGCTGAGCACGAGTCGTAACAGTTGCGTGCTGGCGTCTTCGGAAACACGACGGCATTCTCTTCCAGTAGTTGGCTAATTTTAGGGGTCAAGCCTTCATGAGGCTTGATGGAATCGCGTTGGACTGGCCAACACCACATCACAAAGCCCGAGCAAGCACCGGAAAGCTCCTGGTGCAAACGAAAAAAGAACGCAGCGGCTGAAAAGTGGTGGTTGGTTAGTCACCCGGTTGCTTAGTGCCACGAACACATTTATTGCCTTAGAGAGACGACGGGACGAATCCTGCCACACAGGTACGTTTCACACGAGTGCGTTCATGATTTAAGGACGCTAGAACCGACTTTGCGTAGAACCAGCGACAATTGCGACGACTCAGTTGACAAAAATGAAATGGGTGTTTGTGTAGGTAATATGCCCCAAAGAATGTGGTAGATTGAAATTTCAAAATATAGAAGAGGTCGTGTCGCCTACGTGAAACATTTTGTCACACGACACAAGGGCTGTGTCGTGACTGACGGGTGGTGATCATCTGAACCCAAACTATGAGGACCAAAAAATTAAAGATTTGTTCTATTAACAAAGGAGTTCATAGATTGTTTGGGCCAGGACACATTGAAGTTTGTGAGTTAGGCCCAAAAGAGACATTTTACAATGCTAAAAAGATACTCAATGAATGAGGACTATGCCAGCGATAGATTGAATGCCACACAATCACGAAAATTGTGAGGTTGTTGACTAAGGCAGGAGCATCAGGCTGTAACATACGCGGTTTCGGCAAATTTAGATCAAACGGGTCTGTTGATTTGGTCAACCAATGGAATGCTTTGGGTTCAAGGCTTCATTCGTGTCCTCCAATAGCTTGGATCGTCTGTTTACGATTAGCGTTTCACCGGCCCACGGGATAGTGACACGCAATCTGATAGCGTAGACATGGGGGAAAACACGGCCAAATGCACTACAGCTATTACAATGGCGGTTTTGAATAAATAATCTCCAGGTCATCGACTGGATTCACACACAGGGAGAGTGCTTATTACTTGAAAACGACCACGTTTCCTGGGAATTGGGGGAGTTCTGCGTTCACATGATCTTAACCTTTGCGTGAAATATCACTCGCAAGGGAAAGATCTCCACCCACACCGCATCGAACAAAGCGCGGTCATTAATGCCGTCCAGACTCGGTTCTCATGACTAGGGGTACCGGAAGAGTTATGATCGTAGATCAACGCAGTAGGCGCACACAACAAGCCCAAACGTCCATGCGTTCACACACCGGGACGGTGTGAGTGCAGATTAAAATCGGCTTGTTAGCAGATACCGGGTTTAACTACAACTAAAGCCAGAAATTTAGTTAAAACATCGAAATCAGTGCCTGGGAAGCTTTTATCCAGACATCCAACTCACTCATCCATTCAGTCCCACTGAGGACAAACAGGCCAAGTCCGTTGCGTCACAAAACAAAGGAAAAAAAGCTGCATTCTTTGGCCCAATGCCATTAGGCAGGAAACAGTCAGGTAAGTGGTGCGTGAATGTGCGTGCATTCGTGGCGCATGCTTCATTTTCTCGTAAAAAAAGATCACACAAGGAACATTTAAGGATAGCAGGGTTCTCGCAGTTCAACATCACAGCACTTCCAGCGCACTTCAGGGGAACCACTTTGAAACACTTCTCGCTCCGTCTTTCCAAGTAAAAAATCGTGGTAAACTAGCTACTTTGTCTGTTTCACGAAGGCACTGTAATGCGCTGGATTGAGTTCAAGCACGTCATTAGCAAGTTTTCTTGAGATTTGGGACAAAAGCCCCCAATATTTCGGACCACTTCATGCACCTTGTCTGGAGCTAGTCGTTCAATTGTTTAACAGAGACCTGGTGACTTTGCATAAACAATATCTTTGTGGATAAAAAAAAACACGTCGTTGACTCAGTGATTTATTAACACTGGAAATGCCAAAACTACTAAGTTTGATTTAGAGAACCTCTGAGGCCGTCATGAATGCAAAATTAGCTGCAGTGACACGTGACTTATGGGGTGTATGTGTGCCAAAGGGATTTACTGGTGCAGAAAGTACCAATTGGATTCAATAATACTTAAAACCGATTGGATGTCATACAACAGAGCAAGATAAAATGAACCGACAAATAGGACTTTAACCACATGGTACATGAAAAGACGGATGTTAGCTGAAAACCAAAGTTGTCAACTCACTTTCGGAAGCCCCAGAATCGACAAAACACGGAGACGGTGGCCAGTGCGGCCTTGGAGTCGCCTCCAGGTTCACCGTTGCCTCGCGATGCGGAGTGGTTGCGATTATGGATGCCCCTTCGGCGGGCGTTATTCTTGGGCGAGGAGGTGTCGCTGCTGGTGTTGGTTTCGACGGTTGTGGTTGACGCGAGTCTGCATGCCTCCCGACAGGCCCGACAGCGGAAAGAGGGCTTCAGTTTTTCCAGCTCAGTGCAGCTGTTCAACTGGAGGAACGGAACCTCGGTGTCCGAACCGACGGCGTCCGAATCGCGACCACCCAACTCACCACCGCAGAGGGAACGATGCGAGAGGACGGCCACTACGAAAGCAAAACAGTGCGCTTTCACTTTTATTCCGCAATGCTTGGACCCATTTTGTTGGCGATCAGCTCGCCTACGCGAGACGTGTTCAAGATAGTTCGAGGGTGCTCTCCCTCTTCCGACATCATCGAACTTTCGTGAGCCCAATTGTCAACAACTTACGAAGTGACCTTTGCCCAGTGACTTGAATGCGTGACGTTCCTGCGCCCTGTCACGCACACAGATCATTTCTTTTGTCAACACCGCGGTATCTACAGCTTACTTGCTAGATGAACTGATTTCCCGCTAGGCAAAGTCGAACTCCGGAGATATTAGAGCGCCTTGGGCAACGAGGTGCATAAGTGGTTTAAAAGGTCAACTCTGCTATTTCGGCAGTTCTTGGCAGTTCAATGGCGTTTCACATCGACCACGTGGACAAAACAGTCGGTAAGCCTGAGGCCCCAGATGAACAGAAGGAAAGCCCGATGTGAAGATAAAAGTGTAGACAATTGTATTTATCGTGGCCGTTGATGTCGGGTGGATTTGTGTCCACATGTGACGGAAATTCGCCAATAATTATCGTAACATGGGGGCTGGTAACTGTCAACAAACAGTGCCGGTAAAGTTCATGCAACACTTGCACACCCAATGAGGGTAAACATAAACAAAATCGAATGGGTGGCGCCGTGTTCTCAAAAATGGACTGGAATTCGCGCGACGGTTGGGAGCATAACTGATAAGATTAATCGAGAAAGAAGCACCTGGATGCTTTTATTATCACATTTAAAAACATGATAAGTTGAAACAAATCAAAGTAAATGATGGGGAACTTACAATCAGGCGGTGGAGGGAGTCTCTTCCTGATTTCCTCAAGTGAGAGCTTCTCCTCGCAACATTGAAAATCGAATCGGTCCGTCTGATGTCCTGAACCGATTGCTCTCACAGACTGTCCACATCGGCGGCAAATCAACGACTCTCCACGTCCATCCTCCTCTTCCACCTCCTCTCCAAAATTCTCCTGGTCGGCGCGAATCGTTGTGTCGAGATCTGCCGTGTTGTACGCCTTCTCTCCCTCTGCCCGCCGTTCCTCGCCTTCGTCTTCTGACTCCTCATCCACCTCGGCGTAATTTCTAAGGAGAGCGCTCGGGGCGGTCTTGCTCTGGCCATGGGATCGAGTAGTTAGCGAGCGCTTGGACCACCTTGGTCGTTTCGCTGGCCCTCCTTCCTCCATGAATCTGCGAGATACCTTGACCCGCAGCGGGGGACCCGAAAACGCGGAGTTCGACTTCCGTTTTCGCGTCCCAAACCACCTCCGATTGGTAGTCGCGCCCCTGCTGCCCTCGCCAGCTTCCTCCACAATCATCGACTCGCCATCTTCGTCTTGCCCATTGAAATAAAACTCCGACTGAGCCTGCTCAGTCGTCGATCGAACCGAGGTGGTCCGATTTCTGGAGCCGCCGTGTATAGCAGTGTCACTAGCTGCTGCGGGCGAGGACACTCTATTGTTGTAGAATCGGGGTTTGTTGGTCTTCGTGCGCGAGGTTCTGCTAGATCTTGATGCAGTAGTCCGTTTTCGCGCAGTGATGACACCATAGTGTTGCTTCGCGACGGAACCGCGAGCTCTTTTGCAGGAGGAAGCTGTCATTGTGGAGGGCAATGAGGTCTCGCTGAGGGAGCACATAAGCGGTGCTATCTTCGACGCCCTCACAGGTGGATGGCGACGGGTGGCATAATTGACGCCGCGTTTTGCGAAGCAGGTTGTGGTATCTGCTGAGTCCTTTGACGGCGTCAAATCGGACCCGTTTACAACAGAAGGACTGACTACAGGCGAGGCGGGGGATTCGCGAGCAGATGGAAAGGGGCATTCCTCCTTCACTTTGGGGACTTCTGTGGAAGTTGACTGATGAAGCCAAGAAAAAAAGTGTCACTGGTTTGATTAATTACGCTCAAAACCACGTGTGATTGAGGCCGCTCTGTAGTTTGCGTGACTTGCACTAATGCTAAGGTGTGCTAAATTCAATGTCCCACAAGAGCAGATGGCATCGTAATTACTACCGATGGACCAACAAACACTGCATTGTTGAGCCAAATTCACAAAGCGCAGATTACTTGCTAATCAAGTCAAGCATTTGGAGTTACACATAAGCGCACAGTCATAAGTTAAGTGTTTGCCAGCGTAGGAACTGGGCTGCCAAATTTTCAAGAGGTTAAAAAAACGTACAAAAGAGTGGATCTTCTAATGCGTGAAAAGGACATTTTCGTTGGGCTGTTAATGGCAACTGACGGAAGAGGTGGGAAGCCGTGTGCGCGGCGGCTGGCGGTCGATTGTTTTCGCCCTCAGGCAATGAATTTGGACTGAACGAGGGAGGCGCAAGTGAAGGCAGCAAATTGGCAAAACAGACAAGTTGTTTTCGCCCCAAACCACTCCAAAAGTCGTTAACAAAACTCGCGCACAAACGTGCATTCCAAAGGTGGCACAGGAAATGGTAATAAAATTCGCATTTGGGGACTGCCTCTCAAACGCAAAACAAAAATGGCCGCGAAAGAACAGATTCAAGTGCCTTGTAAGTAAACGCCCATTTGAACGATTTAATAAAAAAAAGAGGGGGAGAGCTGACTTTTTTAGGACAATTAACTCGAAAAAGTGCGTTGAGATGAGCAACATCACAGCATATTTTAAATTAACACGGACGTAAAACTCATTCTTGAACGCACTCTACGCCATTACACTTGAAAGCTGCAATTATTTGTAAAATTTGCGTACAATTTCCAGGATCTGAAATCTGTTTTAATACGGATTTGCGGCCATCCGAGGAACAGAACAAGTTCGATCAACTTACGGGTCGATGTTTTGCGTTGCTTCAATATATTAGGTTACAAAAAAAGGGAAATGCACTAAAGAACCGGCATCACAAAAATGCTGACAAATGCGGCCAGTGGACGCAAATGGCTAACCATGATGGATGCGTCGAGCATTGTGGAGGCAGTTCTGTGACGTGCCCGCCATTGGTACGCATGACTCAAAGTGCTCTAGAGGCTATCAATGCGGGTAATATCGGCACGCTTGTCGCTGGTCTAAGGACGGGCTGTGTGATAACAGTTGACTACGGGAACCAACAGATTATGCCTTCTCTTGCGCACTAACGAACTCCAATTGTCCATGATTTGCGATTAATTATTGAACCCGTGAATTCGAGCACTGATCAGCCGTCACTGTTGCGTCGAATTGGCAACAAACAAGGAATGATTCGTAAGCTCATTGGATACATATCTTTTGAATTGCCTGGGAATTGGAAAACCACTGGTGTAAAAATTTGTTAGAACTCCCGATCTAAAATGTGACTTACAGATGATAAAAAGGCATAAGAAGCGATCGATGGCTCGGACTTTTCTGTTGAATTGGCCCCAGGCTCCGGCTTTGTCTGCTGCTGTTGTTGTTGTTGTTTTTCGGGTATGTTGACTTGTTTGGCTGCGGCAGACTCTGCAGCCAATTCTGTTGTCGCATCCGCCTGGTAGCGCTGGATCAGCCTCTTCTTCAACGAGAACTTGCAGGCTTCATTGTTAATTCTATTCTCCGACTTTGGCGGTGGCAGAAGGAAGGGTTTTCGACCCGGGGAGTTGGCGTCTCGGTCTAAAAGGGTCATGGAATTGATGGAGGAGGAAGAGGAGCACGAGGATACACCATGGTGGACCGCCTGAGCCATCGAGGACGACTGCGAGATTGGAGGGGGATTTTTCTGGCCCTCTACAGTTACGCCATCAAGGTTTGCGTTTCCGAGTGACGGTGACTCAGGCTTGCTATTTCCTCGGCTGTTACTCAAGGCCATTCGGAAATGATGGTCAACCGCGTCAGACTGTTTTTTTATCGAAGATGTCAAAGACGAAGGCGGGGCAGGAGGTGGATGCGCGGTCTGTTGTTTTTCCGGATAAAAAACACCCGAGGTTGTCAGCAGTTTGTTGGTTGGCTTCATGGACTCAGATGCTTGCTTAGACTCCCGAAGGATATCAATTGTGGAGTAGTTTGATGGTGAAGAAAAGGAACACGAAGATGATGAAGGCTCCGTCTTGGGCCAAGGGTAATACGCGGGGTCGACAGATGTAGCCGGGGGAGGGATCGGACGTGTATACGGCTCGCTAGATTGTGGACGCATTTGAGAACTGCATAAATCACTCTTCGGAGCTCGCGAGCTCAGTGGCGATCTACAAGCAAACCATAATTTCAGGATAAACAACAGATAACTTATTTAATTTAAAAACAGAACGTGCGATCAAAATGTCCGTTGATTTGTACCCTCTCGAACTACCGAGCAGATCGCGAGTGTGAATTAGCAGATTTCTGCACTGTTTTATACTAATCGCGGTCACTACACGTGACTGCATCATGTGAAAGCGAAAACAGAAAAAAAGGACGGCAGACGCTTTTACCCAATTCCACTCTGAATGGCTAACCAAGTTGGCAATTTTGAAACGGCATTCAAGCACTTAGAATACAGGGAAATTGAGTCGTCATACAGGGTAAACAAAAGGTTACCATAGCAATTTCGAAGAGAGGAAGCAAAATGCCCTTGAAAATAGTCAATACAGAATCAGAGTAACTTTAGACGTCAACTTCTGTGCAAATAAGGCACTGTGTTAACCGCCATGAAGTGGTAGTGCTTACAAGGGCGTGGCAGCCCAGAATTTGAATCGGAGATGGGCGTTCAACAAAGCCACCGAAATTTACTGCGCGTGCGTTTAATGGTAGCATGTGTAACCAAGTAAGCGGAATAGTTCCCATGACTACTTCAAGCAGCGGAGATTAGTATTAGAAGACATTTGCAACTCCACAGACCGAACGGCCGGTGTATCAAATTGCTAAACAGAGCACACTTTCAACGATTAGAAAACACAGAAGGCCAGGTGACGACCCGATTTTACATCAGTCGGAGACATTACTCGACGCAGAGGCAAATTCCTACCAGAATTGCATGGTCTAACGCGGGTATACTGCGTCTTCAAAAAGTGGAGAAAAGATTCTGGCAACACGCTTAAACACCGATGTTTGCTACTGGAACTAACTTGGGGGCCAGAAACCACAACCTCGGACCACTGGCAAAGTCCAGACAATTCTGTGGTCGGAATGTGGGGGAAGGGGAGCTGTGGGTGACTCAGCATGTGAGAGTGTGACAGCTAGCCACGACACACTCCATTTTCCATTGCGCTTGACCCGATTCGGGACACGCAGCATCGTATCGCGTCACATCGAATCCACTACACCACAAGAGAGCAGGCATAAAATCGGCATAAAAGTGACGTCACCTGTTACACATCGAAATAAACACCTACCCTACTTTCGAGTAATCAATTAGGAGCTTCTTTTCGTTGTCAGAATGCGGAGGAAATGACAGGTGCTGTGATGTGTGTCCAAGCAGTTGCTGCTGCTGAGGCTGTTGGTTTGCCATCAGGTACAACAGGGCAGTAGAGTACAGCTTGTCCATTTGCGGAGAGGCCAGAGGTGCTGTCTGGCGCACTTTGTCGATGTGGTTTTTCACTTGCTGATCTGCAGGTGTGGGCAAGCGAAGCTGGTGGTTGTAAGACGAAGACGAAGGGGAGGTGTTGTACTCGGAGGCTGTAAGAGGTCGGCTGGGTGGGTTCCGTGAGGCACCGGATGAACGTGACGGTGGGGGGAAGGGATGAGGTGATGGGGATTGAAGTGCTGGAGAATGGGTAAATGAAGTTCGCGACCTGGAATGAGCATTATCAACATATCCCCGAATTGGCTCCGGTGGAGAACGCAATGGAGGACTCCTGGATGTGATGAGCAGTTTATCGGGAGTGGCCCTTTGAGGGTGAGTGCGACTTTGTTGTTGTTGCTGGGCAAGTTGGTTCTTCGTCATTTCTTCAAACAAAAGTTGGGCAAAAGCGGCATGCTGGGGTTGTAATCCTCTCGACGCTAACTGGGGGTTATGGAGTAAAGCCTCAATAAACTGATTGGGAGTCACAGACACGTGGTTAAGATCAGGCTTCTTGGGAGCAGCAGACTGATTTTGGTTGGTTACTGGAGGAACAAAACTGACGGAATTACGATTTTCGTCCACTGTACCGGGAGGGCATTCGGATTTGGAGGATGTAGCCAGGCCTGCACCAATTTTGTTAGTTGGCGCTGTGAATTGCTGCCGGGATTCACTACTCCAGCAGGGTTTTGGAGGAAAGGGACAGTCAGGAGGTTGCGAGGTGACATCATTCAAGTTATTCGACATTTGTGATCCAAAAGACATCAACCCATTCGGATCCGTACTGGCTGCAACAAGGCGCTTCTTCATTTTCGCACGCCGTGGACAATAGTACACAATCAACAACGAAATAAGTGTTCACACGCGCAGGCACACACACACGCACATACAACGTATTGATGACAATCTGCAATTTGAATGCATTATAGAGTCGGTGGGGTGTCGGTAGTGCTAGTATAGCGGCGACAAGGCCACGCACTAAGCATACGTGCAATGTTGCCAATTCTCTCTCAGCTGTGATTAACACGTGCGCACGCGCTAGGCTGATTCTTGGTCGAGTTGACCAATCAGTACGCTGCATGGGTCAGTAAATAAACCAATAGCGACCCGCCATCCAGACGTCACTTGTCGCAGCTTGACGGCACTTGTCGATAGATCGCGTTGTGATGCTAGGCGTGGTGCGTGTCGTGGAGACTTTTTCTCGAGACGTCCAGTTCGAGCCGTGACCGATTAAGGGTGGATTAGGACACCCAGTTGTGTGCCTTGATTAGGTACAAAACTTTCAGCCACTAAAATGTTAAAAATTGGCTATCTTTTACGGCAGACGATAAACGCTAAATTTGAATGACCGCAAAACCACCGATTGTGGATTTTAGGTGCATTCGCTTAGTAATATCGTGCTTGGACGCTTCTAAAGGCGACAAATAGTCTTTTGGTTTAGTCATTATCTCAAAATGAGGCTTGGCTTTTGTAATTTGTTCGTGTGCCACGGTTTAATCAACAATTCCTAGCAGACCGAAAACTACAAGTAAGTGAAGTAAGCTATTTAACTAAAGTCATTTGCGATTGCTTCATGAAGGACATTATCCACACTTCTTACACATTATCGCCTATCGTCATGTATGATTAAGTTTTAGTTTTAGGTCCCAAATGAAGTATCGGAGCCCCACTTTAACGTGGAACTAGATACCGCTAAGTCTTCTTCACGCTTTCGGAAAGTCAGTCTCGTAGAGGTTAGCTTTACAGGCCCCACCAAACTTAGATCTGGAGCACGCACGCGTTTGTCTAGTGCCTACATCCTCTGGCAACTGCTGGTCAAAGGCACCAATGCAGTGTGCTTGTCGCTGGCATTCGAGCGCACTGCGTTCGTTCTGAGGTCGCACATTCGATGCCTGTTTTGCACCGATTTCAATCGCACTTCTGAGTAATTGTCACCAGGATGCTGACTGGGTTGGGCTAAAGTTATCGCTAGGACAAAGAGTCAAGTACGTAGTGACGTAAAAGTTTACTAAGAGCTAACCTCTGACGTCTAACGCTAGGCGCCGCAACTCTTGGCTTGAATGCTCAGTTTGGCTACGCAGAATAATGCCTAAAGGCAACTACGGTTGACATTATTCAGGCTTTAATTAATTTGAGAACGAGTGATTACAACATCTAGGAGGTTTTAGCAAGAGCAGATGTGTAACTAGATATAGTAAGTGGCATGGGTCAGCCCGTAGGGTCCAAATTGAATAAAATTGACCCTTTCCCAAGCTAATTTTAATTAGAATCTACTAGCATGACCCTCGACAAGGCAGGCGATTATGTGGTGCTGCCTGTCCACCATTCGCGTAACTCAAATCACGAAAAATAGACGAAGGCTTGTTTCGGCACATTACTACTTTTGGTCAGCCAGCTATTTTTATGTACAGGTTACGAATGATCTGTTCCATTTATGGTGAATACTGCAATTCCCTTGAGTACCAAAAAAATTGTCGAATAACTGCGAAACGGTCGGTACATTTCGGACTTGAATTTGCTACACGAAGTTGTGTCAAAAGCTCTGCGGATTAAGTAATGGCATTCGTTCCATCTAAGAACCAGAGCGAGTCCATTGATCCGCACGTGTTGATCTCCTCACATTCTCACATTCTCGATTCAGATTCTCGGTACGCTAGACGCTCTGCACACCAATACCTAGCTTTTGGCAGCTTGTCTGCGAATCACATAAACCAGGTCTCAAAGACAAATTGCTCCCTGATCACCCATTTACATGGTTCTAGTAGGGGTCTGCACTTTCCTTAACTTTCTAAGCTCATAGTCATGTCTATTTCACGAAAGTCCTAGTGGGCACACCCTACGAAAGTTGCATGTTCACTGGTTCAAATCCATTTGTGATTGACACCCAGCCAACGAATTACATTTTGGCAGCTCCGAGACACGTTGCTTCGAAAAATTACCTTAACCAGGTGCTGGACAGCGATTGGGCGTCTGAATGATTGGTCGAGCCTGCTATCTTTGAAGTCTGAGTGAAAACCAGCCATGCTTAATGGTAAGCTGTATTACTAATTTCAAGCTTCATTAGTAATTAGTCATCTAACCTTAAAATCAGGCAAGTGATAACCGCTTGAAAACTTTCGCGAAGGCACTTCTGAACATTCTTAATCACTTCACGGCATTTGGACGAGATTGATATGATTATTTACGTTCGCAGATCTATCGACTATCGATTGAGAAATTCGTCAAGTTGGCGATTGCATTGGAGTTGCTGCTATCTGGGCAACAAGCATTAACCGCCCATGAGAGAAAACTACTTTCTGCACAAATATTGAAGGCTGAGATCGGATCCAGCTGAAGTGTTGCTCAGCGTATAACTTTGAAGCTAAAATTCCCCTTTAAGGTGGTGGCGCAGCCAAACTAGGCCATTACTGCCGTTCCGTTGACTTTCGGTGAAAACGGCAGTAAATAAGGAATGACTTAGCAGTAGAAAACAAACATTCCGAGTGGGGATTTTAGCGACACAGACAGTCAGTTCATTTGACATTTAAGCTAGTAAAGAAAGCAAGTCTTCGGAACCTCACGAAATACTGTTCCTCATCCTGAGGCTAAAGATCTTCGTAGCCGCCTTCAGCCCACCCATTCTTTATGTAGAGCATGGAACAATGCTTGTGGACTGGGCATCAGCAGTCAGCGTTAAGGGGTCTGGAAGGGTACTTGGGCGTGCGCGCGCAGACAAGATTTATGCGCTTGCGCAGGTCCTGTCTTGTGGCATCCACACGCACCCCTCGAACTCCCGTCGTCACGTGGGTTGAAACGACGGCGTGGGACGCGGTCAGTGCTAACGTTGGCCGTGGAGGTGTCGGCGGATCCCTTTGATGGGGGCCTGGGACTTGTCGTCGCCTTACCGTCCCCCATCAGACAGAACCTCATTAAACAAATGAAGTTAATGTGGATTGTTCTAAGGAAAAGAAAAGTTGGACAATTGGGTTAAGTTGGTTTGTCAAACCGATAAATTACGCCATGTGCACCCTCGATTCTGCTATTGTGAACCCGTCGACATCAATAACCAAAATCTAGTGATCGTGTTTAATGCTTACTGAATGTCAATCCCAGAATTTCGCAAAAACCTCTCCGGACGCATTTGTTTTTCTAACACCCCTTAAATCTCCTACGACAGTTTGGTAGTCAGTCAGTAACTGATCAGTTGAGATAAGTGATCCGGAACGGAAATTGGCGGTAAACGAAACGCGCTGCCGTTGAGCCGACTCTTTCCTGGTTGGTTTCAAATACTTGTGTTTGCAAATAAGCCGAGCATATTTATGTTGCAACTCATTAAAAAGTCTCTGGTGCAAATTTTTCAAATCAAAATTATGAAAATCAACACACCACTGTCACAGGCTTATCAGAAGTGGGAATCACCTAATTAAGAACGGTGTGGCAATCTTTAAGAATATTCGTTTTTAATTATTTATTCAAATCGTGGGCGTATTTGCTTCAATGACCGAGATCGAAGTTGTAACTGTGTTCAAGGCAGCTTTATCGACTGACGCTTATTCCTGGATGTTAGCTCGTTGTACTGAACTTATGTTCAATAATCGATATTTGCAACAATATAAGGTCATGGAAGAGGCAGCCTCTCGCAGCAAATTCACAACTATGAAACGTCTCTCTGTCAGGGAAAAAAATAATTTTGTAACGGCTTGCTGTGTTTTACGGATGTTCAATGTGCCATGTGAATTTGCATTCAACCGGAGTGAGTTATTGACAGAGATTGAAGAGGAGGGAAATTCGCTACACTCAACAAAACCCAAAAACGCGGATTCGCATCCGAGCACCGTCCAGAATAGGGACCATTTGGCCTACTTACGGTTCCACTCGAGTGTGTGTTAGCTTGCACGCCGCTGCGCAAAAGTACAGTGCGCAAGAGGGTCAAGTACGGGTACCAGTGAAACAAGCCACTCGGGGGTCACGTGCTCCAGATCTTGCCTCCTCCAATTGACTGACGTAACACTAAGTTTTTTTTTAATCGACTTATCTAATGTCAATTTTCGTCGCTTTACAATCTTTTTCCTGCGCCTTACAACCGAGTTATGGGATATGCCAAGGTTAGTCGGTTCCGTAATCAATTAGAAGGTGGAGTAGAGGTGAAGTCAAGTGCAGTTTTGCTTATCTCTTTTGGCACCCTGCGATGTTGTTTGCACATGTACCAAATAAATAATTCAATTAGTTCTCTTTGAGCTTGACACCTCTCCCGCCAAACACCCCTTCAACTTAAATTAACTACAGTCCACTTGAGTTGTGGGACTCAAACTTAAGAAGACCAACAGGGTCCAGTGTTAGTGGTGGAATATACTGCCCAGGAAAATTTATCACGGAGTCTAGGCCCACTATAAAAAGGGGCCATTATCCTTCGTTGACTATAATTTTCTGCTAGTGCAACATATATATGACAACATAAACACTAAGCTCAAATGTGGTTGGGCAGTAGGTGTAAGTAACTCTTAGCCAATTCAGCCATTCAGATACGAAAGTTGTTTGTCTTAGTAGTACTTCTAATTGGTCATGAGATTTCATTTAACTTAGTCCAATTTAAAAAGCTAAGACACAAGGCTGTTCAGTGTTATTACCTATCCTCATAATCCAACCAAATCCAATGGACTATAGTTAGCTAAATGCACGACCTTCCAAGAGCGTATGCCGCGGATTCTAGCGGCATTCCTCATGTGTGCGTAATTAGCGATCGATAGTAATCAGCTGTCCGCATGGCGCGGAATGCACGCGCGTGCACGACCACAGTCGCGCACGCGCGCACGCCGCTGCGGTATGATGAGGCGAAGACAAAAATACCGCTAGTGTGTGTAGCTAGACTGGTTTTAGGACAAAGTTTGTGCAAAACAGCTGTTTGTTGCTCTCGCCCCAAATAATTTCAAGGTAACTTCGTTGAAAGGAGGCTTTCGAGGAAGTTCAGGTCAATTATGGAGAAGTGAGATTGGTTGTCTTGAGGCATTTTCAATTCCGGAGCTCGTCGCATCAACATACGGAATACAGATGGGGGTACGCAGAGCCAAAGTTATTAATTGTTAATCGGTTTCACCGCATGCGGCAATGAAAGCTACGCGGTGGTTTTGGTTATTCACCTAACAAAGGACGGCAGACGTTTTATGCCACGCGACAGTCACATGCTACCTGAAAAGACCACGTAGCCTTTGCATGAAATAAATGTCTGATTCTTTTATCGCATGCCTTCTCCGGCGGAACACGTTAGTCCATGAATACGAATGCAATGACAGAGGAAGTTTAGAAAGCATGATAACAACTTCGCCTTTTGTTAAGGTTTTGTAATAGAGCCCACGTTTCTCCTTTCCCTTATCCTGTATGTCTACTGTTCTTAAACGTAATAAAATTAAATTCCGCAACTGTAAACTATACTAAGGCCCATCGCTTTTTGTTACCAAGGTAACTGTTAGCAGTGCTTAGCCAATCATAGAAACCATTCATTTGTCCACTGACACACTGTAGTGGTTAGGGTCTAAGCACTACCTTACAACCCTCTAGTTAACAGCCCGTAACAACTCGAGAAGAGTGGAAAAAGAGGCGCCAGCCAAGTGTATCTTAGTGTGTGGATGAGTGAACGGATGACAGGCATCTGATACAGTAACCAATGCAAAGGGGATGAGTCATTGCCACCGCCAGGTCGGTAACCAGGGTTCACGCAGACACGATCGCTGTTAATCCGCTACAACAAGACACACAGAATCAGAGGCAACTTTTAGTGATGTTAAACATTGCGATTTCTTTGGAACCAGCGCATGATCAGTCACAAAATTACTGAAATCGCGTGAAAGTGGTGGTATAACAGGGCTCGCACGTAAGCCCCTCGGTTCCAATTCAGACAAGCTGCAAATGCAGTTGTTTATGTCTACGTTTGCAGTTTATCCGAGCCATTGCTAATGGGCTCTTGAAACAGCCGTGCGTACACACTACGCCTAGTGAGCGACGTGTGCAAACCACCTCTGCATTCAGCGCCTCAAGGTCAAGGAACAGGGTGATGTGCAGGTGCCAGAATCACACGCGCATACAAAAGTGCATTAGCATAAATTAGCCCAGTGTAGGTAGACATGTAAGAGATGTCTTCGTAAGCCGGGGCGCGGGGGTCTAGACAGGATTTGGGTTAAGAGGTCTGTTTCGTCAAATTCTGCAATTTTCGATTAATCACTATCGGTCAGGTCCCCAGACAAACCAAAATGTGAAACGGTCAACTTTAGTGATGGCAAAAATTGCCACACCCTCATAATTTAAATCTCTACATAACAACATTTACGTATGTTAAGATTGAGCGATGGCTCACACAAATTTGAAATATTCACCTGCTGACTTAAGCCACTTCGAGTGATGCAACTGTCACCTCTAGATCGAGTCACACATTGAGTTTCGGCTTTTAAGAAACAGCCCTGCCTTAAAGCCAGTGTCAAAATGCAAAATCGCTTCTTGTGGCACCCAAAAGATGCTGCTGTAATTTGCCATCCCAGATACTCGAAATGCTCAGGAGCACAAACCGAAAGTCCGTCCTGTGATACGGCGTTTGATTGACCACTGAAACGCTTGTGCGACGTCATTGGACCAGAAACCTGGGTAGTTTCGCAGTTCAAATGGAAAACTTAGGGTGGAGGGAGTTGTAGGGAGCCATAAGCAGTTCATGGTCTCGGACAAGACTTATTCTGTGGTGCAGTGGCTGTGCTCTAAATTCTTTTCTTAGTGCCACGTTTGTTGACTGAGCAGAAGCTGATTGGACGTCTAAGTTTTGCTACTTAGTAAAAGCTACCTCTCAACATGACTTTAGGACAGGTTGACAATTTGGAGCTAGTTTGAAAACTACGTTAAATGTCGTCACTGAGTGCGAAATAAACCAGTTCTATACAATGAGTCCAACGCTGATCTGAAATGCCTAACACACCGGTTGTTATGGTGGTTACGTTTACAGTTAATGTTGCCTTAGTCATCAATGGAAAATTCCGAATATTCGCCATACTTGTTGTGAGGCAGAACAGTTAGAAGACGACAAAGGCTAGGTGCGTTGTTAGGACCAGATCCAATTAGTAATTTAATTTGGTGGGATAATTTATAGACGACCATGATGGTTTGCGTGGCATAAACATGTGAACTACAAAGACTAAATTTGTTCTTTTAAAGGTTTGGAGAAATTGAAGAAAGGAAAAACAGTTAAAGCTGTTTCTTTTCGTTGAATTTGAGGCCTGTCCATCTTGGTTGCCACTTAGGGATGCGCTTTCAACACTCCGTTTCGGTTTCACATTCCCAAGCTTCAGTGCAAGGAACGGTAATTAAGCAGACGGAAACTTTGGCCACATTTTGTCGCCTCCAAAATAGTGCTATCCTACGTGTTAGGATCCAGCGTTCAGTCAAAAGTACCACCAACGAACTGGACCGTTCACTAGCGAGCAAAACACGTCCAGATCAATCGAATACGCAAGACCCAGTGCCGAATGTGTTCTTACAATGAATTTGTATCTTTACATACACAGGGTAACCGTGACAGATTGGTTAAAAATAGGTACGTGGAGAGCAGTATGCATTAAGAATTGGTACGAACTGACCCAAAATAATGACAAAAATCGATTTGTTTATTTTCGCGTTTCACAAATCCTAACCACAGTGTAAGGATTTCAAAGGTACTAGATTTTGGAAAAGTTTGTCCTGTCTATCGTCAGATAATGTGGGTTGTGCAATCCGATAACCCTCATAGATCGATCCCTGAAATTTGATAACCAACGCTCTATATTCAAACTACGGGCAACTACAACCATTTAGCCTTGACATTTAGCATTGCAGAAAAACGTGTCTTCGTCGGTTCTGTTAATGGGAACAAATTCGGTTGATTATTGAGACATGCCCACTTG